CAATCCTATTAATCATTCAACTTTTATGACCATTTATACTCCCTCATTATAGAATACTATTTGAGCAAATAAAATTGACTATAAATACGACTGTATAGCTTAAGCAAATGAAATTGTTCAAACGAAAATATTCTTTGTTGTATTGCCTTTCTTCGTCAATATATATATAATGAGAATAAATTTCCAACCTACATATAACTGTGTTAAATTGTGGTGTGTGCTACTGATGTCAACAGATATAAGTAGTATGTCTCATCAATCGAAATTGAAGTGTCTGACAATAGAAGAAGAAGAAGAGAAGTTTGAAGAGAAGAGAACGAGAAAACAAAATGGTTGTTGTGGAAATGAAGTAACAATGAAGTCTAAGACAATTGATTGACATTTTACGAATAAATTATTTACTGTATGGTTCTCATATTTTAATAAAAAGTTCTGTAATTTTTTATATCCAAATGTATTCGATTGTCCACTTTTGTGTTCTCAATCACTGCAAAATGATCATGTTTTTTGTTTGAGTTTCTAAGTAGTTCTCTTGTCTATTCTCGATATTTTATATTAGTACTAGTTTTATAGTTGGAAATAAAGCAATAATCTATGTATTGTTTTGTCAAAACCAAGTAACTAGTTGATGATATTATAATAAAACCAGTCAGAAGATATATGTACATATATTCATAATAGTATATTGACTTATTACATTTATCACTATTTTTCACTTGGATACTTTATGAGATCTACGTTTATTTAAGGTAGTTTATGATTACCAACTGCTATTAACTGATAAACTGATCCTGTGAAATTTTTCAGCTGGTCGTAATTTATAATAAAGTCAATTTTAATATTATTACTTTTCCATTTTTCTTCTATTTACTGAAGTAATTATACAAATTACACAACATAGAAATTTAAAACACAACAATACGTTAAGAGAACTAGGAAAAATTGATAAATACTTAAATCATGATCAGAATGGGGAGGGAGTTGTGAACGAAACGACTGTCTAGTGCTTCCAAGTTTTCAGTGGTGGCCTAGCTCAAATGAACGCATGAATTTAATTGAAATCATGATTTATTATTGATGAAATTTCACCTCATATCTACTTTATATTGTAAAATAAATAATTTTTACTTAGCTTATTTAAATCAACACATAAATACACTAATTAAGTTTTAATATATAAATCAGTATACCAGTAAAATGTATACGATAAATTACTCAGTATGGTTTTTTAGAAAGACAATTTTTACATGCTGGATGCCGGCTCAATGGTTTAAAGGCCAAGCACTCACGTGCGAGACTGATAGGTCTTGGGTTCAGTGTGTATGTGCATTGCTGGGGAGTCCTATACTAAGACGAGACGGCTGTCCGATGCTTCCAGTTTTTTATTGGTGGTCTAGCTTCAATTGACTCATGTTTTCAACAATGAAATTACTAAAATCTCCACAAAACCCCTTCTGATAAAGTATATATTAAGATTATATATTAAATAGTCTAATTAACAAATCACTGACTCAAACTATTTGTGATTGAAAGGAAGTTATTTGTTTTTATTAAATACTGCAAAAGACTAGATTATTCTATATATTTTTCATTCAGAGATCAAATGCATTCAACAGAATGTTTCCAAGGTGAATAGTAAAAGTGATTGACATATGCGTCTCTGAAATTTTTTTAATACTCTAATTGACAGCCAGCTTTTAAGTGGGTTGACCCAATTCCGCATTTTGTATATAGACATAAGATGTAGTGAGGTAATCATCGTGATGAACTACTAACAGCTAAGTCTATTTTTACTATTTCATATATGGGAAGGGTAAATCTGGTTAATCACTAATCTCAAAAGGAATAAACTTTAAAAGTAATTATATAGATGTCACTGAATTGAAGCTACATATCATTTTTGAATAATTCATCATTTGTCTAGTTTAAATTCAACTAATGTACTTTGAGTCAAACTGTATGAAAGCTAGTGGAGATATCTGGATGTACTAACCTGACTAGCGTAAATAGGGTTAAAATATATAGTTTATTAACTAAATCCCTATCACTTTACTTACTAAACTACTACTCCACATGTTTAGATTTAATTTATAATGTAAAATGAAAAAAAGAGTAGGCGAAGTTAGTTAAATAAACATATAAAATTACGTATTAAATGTTTACATAATGATTAATACTATGTTTAATACTGAAATAGTTCATAAGAAATAATATGAAAATGCGTTAAAGTAGAGGTTTCAACGAAGAAAAAAAATATACAAAACATAACTAAATCGGACGAGACTATAATTTATGGACAAAGTAATCAGGTATAGGATAACAGGTCTCGGATTTTGGTGTGATATTCACCCATTCATTTGGCTAAACAGAGTTTTGGCATTATAGCTGATGTCGTTTCATGATGAAAGTCCTAAATCTAATTCCTAACCCTAGCCATCAACTGTAAATCATAATTCTAATTCATCACGTTGGTTTATAATCCTCATTTGGTCCTCGTTATTGAATGAACACTCAAGGTCATTTTGGCGTCGCTCAATGGTCGTCCATAAATTAACATTACACCAGGTTATGTTATATGACAAATGTATGAGACGTAATTTTATTCTATTAGTTGTACAATTATCAGATTAACAGAATATTACTGATTAACATTATTATAAATCTGTATAAATTAGAACGAATAGTATTAAATAAGGACGTGAAATTCAGTCAAATCAAGGCCATGTAATCTGGTAAAACTTAAATCTTATCACTTTTATTAAAGCTGTGAAGAATTACCGGATGTAGATAAAGACTATGTTATGTACAGAAAAGTATACTTTTTAAAAATTCAGAATGATGTTTGACACGCTCATCATCAATTTTTTATATTCGTAAATGAAGAGTGAACAAATGAATGAAATGTATGTGTGGTGTGTACTTCTTATATCGACATAAGTATATGACGTTAATCAGGAACAGAATGTATGGCAGCAAAGAGACAAGAGGATCGAACAGTAAAGAATGGAAACACAATGCAATTTGTATGAAAATGCAAGAACAATGAAGTCTGAGTCATTTTAAAACAATCGATGGACATTTAGCAAATTAGGCATTTACTATATGATTGTTAGATTTTATTAACAAGTTCTGTAATTTCCTACCACATACATTCGATTGTCCGGCACTCGTGTTCTTGTTCACTATACGTGTAGTTCGTTTACTCACTTTGCGATCAGCCAGTAAATCATTCATTTGAAACGAGTTCGATTTTTGTTTAAGATGTCACAAATAAATAAAGGCCTACAGCTTGAGTTTAAGAAAAAAATAAAGTAATGTTTATATTAAACTTTACTATTCGATTAACACAATCATCAGATAGATTGAAACGAACAATAATCTCCCTGTACTTATGCAGGAAAATTAAACTCATGGGTAAGGTAACACTCAGACGTTATGACCTGTCAAAAGTTCAGAAAACTAATTCACCATATCGCTCAGTTTTAAATATGATCAGTTCACCAAACAATTCAGTTGATTAATGGCTAGTTGAACTTTTAAAGTCAATTTATATAGAAGTCTTACAGCATAATGTAAAAGATCATTTTATTGACAGTATTAGAAATTTAAAGGTGAACAATTAATTAATGATATCACTTGATATATAATCTTTATACATTTTTTCAATTTTTATTTCATTGATATATCAGAAAATGTAAGTCAAATGCTTAACCAACAGTGAAAGAACGCTCGTTCTGGATTCCATTGCTGGTCACCATCTATCTTTGTTTATAATGCGTGTCACTTAAGACAATATCAAAGCAATTCGAACAAGATACACATATTTCATTTACGGTCCTAAATATTAATAGGAATATTGAAACGAACAATACAAAATGAATCTCATTTAACTCGTTCTGATAATTAAATAAATATAAATATTATCAGAAGGGGATTGTGGAGATTTTATAAAATTCACAGATCGAAATCATGATTTAATTGAAGCTAGACCACAATGGAAAACCTGGAAGCACTGGATGGCCGTTTCGTTCTAGTATGGGAGTCTTCAGCAGTGCACATCCACGATCCCGCACCCCGCGTGATTCGAACCCAGGACCTGTCGGTCTTGCGCCAGGCGCTTAACCAACAAGAACACTGCGGTGCTGATGTCGAACTTCAACCAATCGACGAAATTGCGCTACCGTACACCATTGTCATGAGTGAGCTGATATTTCACAACAGACCTGATTGAACTCCACTGGTAACGGCTCCTTACTAGGACTCCAGAAGTATCTCTTCAAGTCAGTCTGTAATGAGCAGATAATTATCATCAGAAGGGGTTTTGTGGAGATTTTAGAAATTTTCACTGATTGAAATCATGGGTCAATTGAAGCGGGATCGTGGATGCGCACTGCTGAGGAGTCCCATACTAGAAAGAAACGGCCGTCTAGTGCTTCCAAGTTTTCCATGGTGGTCTAGCTTCAATTGACTCATGATTTCAACCAGTGATTATTATATTGTTAAGTTAACTCATCACCATTTATATAATAATAATTTTCTATTTAATTATAAAATCTATGTATTAACGTTTAACCGTGATAAAAAAAACTAACTCAATTTCAATGTTTGATTATTTAATAGATAGTAAGTTGTTAAAAATAAGTAATACAACGTAATAATACTAACAAATATTGAATCAATCAATGAATTAAGTGAAAATTTCAACGAATAAAAGTCTTCACATATAGATCATATTTACTTACTTACACGCGTAAGTAAGTAAATAAGTACTTGTCAACATTAAGCTACATAGAATTAAATGTAGAAAATGTAGAAAAAAAAACTATGGTTACAAAAATTAATTGTGTACAATTTGCACAATGTATATTTTGTTTTAAAACTTAACGACTACAGTGTTGATTCAAAAGAGAAATAGTATTTAAATAAAGATTAAATGTAATTCTGTTCTTCTTCGATTATTATTAATGTTTACCATATTATTATGTATAAAATAAACTTACTCTTTTGGCGGTGGAGGTTGTAAACCAAGCGCACAAATATATTCTTGAAGTGTAATCATATTATCACCGCTTAAATCAAATAAACGTAGAAATTCCTTCATAAAAAAGAACAAAAAAATATAATGATGAAGGTGGTTAATTAAAAAATGATTAAATTTTATAACTTGAATTGAATTTTTAACTATAAAGTATCAGGCACTAAAATAGATTATCAAAAACATTGTATACAGATGCCTTAGAAAAAAAAGTAAAAACAAATGGGTTTATTTTTAAAAAAGAGACGACAATTTGTCACGTTGACAATAAGATTAGTGCATAGCATAATTTGTGAATCTTTTTTTTGTGTAAATATAATTTTTATAAAGAAAGTTTTGATTTACGATAAAATGAACTTAAGAGTAAAACATTAATATCATAAGGGGTTTTTGTAGATATTATAGTAATTTCAATAGTTGAGATCATGAATCAGTTGAAGCTAGATCATCAAGAAAAACCGAAAAGCAAGGAACGACTGTCTCGTTCTACTTTGGGACTCCACAGCAGTGCACCTTCACTATCCACCTCCGATAGATTCGAACCCAGAACCTATCAGTCTCGCGCGCGAACACTTAACCTCTATACAATTGAGCTGGCATCCAGCTGTGTTAATGTATAACTTCAACTAATTCACGAAATCGAGGGACACATCCACTATTATCTTCAGTAAGTTAATATCTCGCAACATTAGTTATATTATAAATGATAATCCCAATAACATATTACAATGTTATGTTTTCACTGAAATAATAACGACAGAAATTAATATGAAAGCTTGATTAACTCAGAGTTTATAGTTACTATAATAAAATATTATATTTTTAACGTAAATTTAGTCAGAATTAATTAATAATGCAAAAATATTTAATTAAACAATAATCTTTAAGGTCTTTTCACAGATCACCGAGTTGTAAATTAATAAATATTTGCTTGAACTTTAAGTAACTTATCGCTAGCTTTCGGTAATTGTTCTAAAGAGTTGCTATATCTACTTGTTTATTTACTTTTTTTAATTAAAACATCTATTTTGAAGTAACTTTCCTAGAGTGAACATAAATGAAAAGTTACTTCATAAAACATTCAAGAAATGTAAGGTGGTTACAGATAAATGAAAGAAAACCGTGTATCTAAGTTTCTTGTTAGTTGGTGTATATCAGCAGTGTGCACCTAGAATCATAAAGGAACTGATACTTATTGAATTACTCGAGGTCAGTGGCATTCTGAATAGCTCGTCCGCTTCCTCAAAATTGCATCCGACTATTCGTGCAAAATTGTACGTGATCTTAAGTCACTTAGACTAATTTTCACATTGCAAAAAGATCTACAAAAACTTGTCAGAACTAAAAACTTAACATAGATGATTACTTAATGATCAAACAGTTGTAAACATATGAAACCAAACTCATTTACGTGCATTAAAACAGTACTTACGTCCTCGCCGAATTGTTCATTTAACAAAGTGTTTTTCGAAGTATTACGACTTCTTTCATTTTTTCATTTTGTTAATAATTCGTATTCTATATTTCAGTGTTTTGTAGTCAGTTTTAAGCCTATCAAACTAGATTTCAAAGCCAAAACTCATTCAAACAAAAATTCCATCAGGTGTATCGCTTATAAGAAACGTGTTATAATTATGAAAACTGGTATTTAAAACAGCCACAAACCTGATATTTGATTGACTTAAAGAATAAGACTGTTACTGATGGAAGACGAATATTTCATCCACCATCCAAAACATAATAGTCACTTATTAACAAAGAGTATATATTAGAGACATGTAGTAATTAACCATTAGATTTCATGCCTAACTAAAAATCGCGGAAACACAACGATCTTTCAAAATAACATACACAGTAAAACAAAATTAACTCAAATGGTGCACAATTCAAAAACTTGTACATTAAATACATTTTAGTAATTCATTAGGTTAAATGTGAACTACACATTCAAAAGCAACACATGAATTATATCGTTCTGTCATGATTTTAACATACTTTCCAAACTATTTTCTTAAAAATCAATAACTTGTTATCATTACCCTCTGATAATTTTTCATTATAATTAATCACTTATTACTGTCAAATTCAAGATTTTCTTTTTATATATCACATTAATAATAATTAGTCATATTGTGATCTATTAATTATTATCTTCTAATTATTTGTCTCTAACCCTCATATCAATACATGACCGTATCGTAATACTTAAAATTCCTTGAACATTTTTATTACGTAATCCCTCTCTTTTATCTAATAGCTAATGAACCATTGTAATATAATAACATACAGCATCAGTAAGTGATGGCACTCAAAAAAGGAAATTTTTATTTCATTTTTAAAGGATTTTACATAAACTAAGCCAGATATACTCAGTAATTCAGTTTATTGTTTTTATCTAGTTATATTTACTAATATCTGAAGTTTATCAAAGTATATTTTGTTTAACATGTAAATTCAAATGAACTAAATTTGATTCATTTTTGGTTCTGAATTCTCCGTTCATAATGTTTTTTTATTAGTAAAGGGTTGTTAAGTCTTTATTAAGATTCTGAATCGATCAATGTTAGACTATCATAGAAAACCTGGAAGAACTGGACGACTGTTTCATCCTAGTATGGGACTATTAAACGGTAGATTTCTACGATCCCATAGGTGGGACTCGAACTCAGGGTCTTACGTCTCTCGCGAACACTAAACATTTAGATCAATGAACTGGAATCTACTTATGATAATATCTGACTTCAACCAATCCACAATATTGGGCATGTAAATATTTTTGATATCATGTCATACATATAAAAGATTGTCTACAGTTCGACAAAAGATAAACATGATTCATGAAGGTGAATAAAAAATGATTAGGACGATCAATTTTTGTCTACTGACACTTATCTATCTTTTGTTTCTTAGAATTTCATTCTTCAATTTTTAAAAATGCAATAGCTAATTTTTGTAAATATGATTTTCGCAGTTCATTAAAGGAATATACTAGCGGTAGTATTTTGAGAGATTATACATTGATATTTACGCATACAACAGCTGGAAATGTTAACCATAATCAAAATTTCCAGTATACGCAGTAATTCAAGATTACGTTATTTGTAGGCTAAAGTCATATGATAACGTGAAGTTAGAGCCTCCTATCATTCATATCATAGAATCAATATACGTATGTTAGGAAGTGATTAGAAAAGTAGTGTTTCGAGTCAAACTTAGTTATATAAAAGTAACATAAAATAGTTAAGCGGATGTTCATTCTAAAATGTTTAAAACAAATGATAGTTTTAAATAATTGTAGCAAACGTTAACGAGTTTGGTTTATGATTGTAGTTTATTGATTACTTTGATATAATAATTAGATTAATATCAGAATAGAGGTTTGTGGAGATTGTAGTTGAATCCATGAGTCGATCTAAGCTAGATCACCGTGGAAAACCTGGAAGCACCGGATATCTGTGCGGGATCGTGGATGTGCACTGCTGAGGAGTCTCGTACTAGGAAGAAACGGCCTTCCAGATTTTCAATGATGGCTTAGGTTAAATCGACTCATGAATTCAACTATTAGAATAGATTATTAATAATAACCGATCATTAAGATAGTTTAATTAAATTAATCGAAATCAGTGTAGCTGCACAAATGCATTTATTCTTAACGTGTACATTGATCTTTATTCTTTACCATGTTGTCTAAATATTCTTGATTTCCAATTTCTCCCAAGAATTACTGATATCACTTTCTTTCACTACTAAATACGAACTCATTACATTCGTGTTGAATATTATAAATTTGGTCATATACCTCTTCCTCTGATCCTTTGATTCTTATGTCTCTAATCCTAAGTCCTTTTCGTCAGTACGCCTTTTCGAGTTGTAAGTTTGATTATTCATGTTATAACTTCTTCTTATACATGGAACCCGACAGATAAGAGAGAAATTTTTCATGAACACGAAACCATACCTTAGGAAAACAAAAATGAAATGACTTTACAAGTAAACTGAAACGTCTGTAAAATAAAAAAAATAAATTATATGGTTCACATGAGTTAGAAGTTAGAAGGTTTCCACTGTTAATAAATTTCATATTCAAATGCAAATAAGCGACTATCAGACAGATCTGTTTAGTTATAGAATCATATGTGGTCGTGATGGAAAATATGAATAACTGATGAGTTCATTATTTCAACATTATTAATAAGCTACAATTATTATTTATTAATTCTAATGAAAACTTACATCAACTTTTGATGGCGGTAGACCAGATCGCTGAACACAGAGTCGAATTTCAGACGGGGTTAAAACACCATCACAATTTTTATCCATTTGATGGAATTTTTCAATCAATGCTCTTCTATCCATTGTGTTAAGTTTCAAGGCCATATATTCAAATTGTTTGTTTATATTGGAATCCACTTAAAGGTATCTGATAAAAGTATTTAAAAAATATTCTTGTTCAAGTCAGCCAATTACTCTAAAGGTGAAAGGAAACACAATTTAATTCATTGTTTTTTTTTCTTAAATACTCGTTCAATTAAAAAGTTAACGCTTAAAATTTATGGAGTTGGTAACTCTTAAAAGTGTAATGTTTGTAATATGAACACCCAATCAAATGGTGAGAATGTAATATTTTTTGATAAACAAAGATTTTTAAGCTTGTTAGGTGTTTTTATTTGTAATGACATGTTATAATTCATAGAAATATAATTGATTTTGCAATAGAAAAACCTGATTGATTTACAACGTATGTAAAACATATTATCAGTATGAACATTTCATAACCAATCAACAATGCTTTCGATAAGTTTCTATATTTACACAATCTATTGTTATCTCACTGTATTAGTTCGTTTCGAAATAAAGACAAAGTAATGAATTGATAAAAAAGTTTTACTGAAAAATAATTATCTTAAAACAATATTTGTCTATCAAAATGTCTTATGTCGGAAGCTTGTTCTAGTCTGAAAGTAACTACTTTCAGATATACATGTTACATAGACTTTAAAAAAAAAGAAAATATAGATTGCTTCAACAAGTGGTTCGGTTTGTACTCAAAAGACAATGAAAACATTTGAGTATGTGATAAAGCTGCTAACATATTGAAGTACTATGACTTCTTTAGTAAATAGGAAGCATATTTCTAATTGCCATCAACTAAATTATATTGATTATAGTACATTCAGTGATTGCGAATGGTTAACGTGTGGAATGACGTCTAAGTATGCTTATTTCTTTAAGAATTTTTTATAAGAGGACGATTCATTCATTGAGTGTCAATTGCTAGCACTATTCCTTTGAGTATATTACATATATATATATATATATATATATATATTCCGATGGATTCATTTAACAAAATGATTAAAACTGTTTATTTGAAATATATATGCATAACCTTATTACATAATTTACGTTTGAGTAAAATTAAATCTTCGTTCGAATGACTAGCCTAAAATGTAAGATTTAATTGTAATAAATGAAGTAATTTCTATTGACGGATATTTTTAATTTTCTTTATCAACCAAATTTTAAATACCATATGATTGACAATAATATATTATGAGTGACAGAGGCAGTTTTACGTTAAGAAGTGTAAGTAATATAAGCTAACAGTTAAGGTAATTTACATTATACGCAGAATTCATATGACATTTAACAGCTGGACGTGTTATAGTTTCTGCCAAAACTTAAGAAAATTTGCGGAATATTCTAAAATTTATTTACAAATATCGAACCTTTGTTTTAAGTATCTATAAGTTATACTCAATTGAAATGTATGAGTAACAAATCTCTCTAGTAACCGGAATTGTGAAAACTGATACGTAATGAAGTTAGGCATCATGAATCCTAATTTGTATCGGTGATTCGAATGCGAAGTCGTCTATCTCCACATATCTTTTGAAACGAACGTCTGCTATTTAAATTGTTTCACACTTTTCTTTTATCTTTTCCAAGGTATTATTCAGTAATTGACCCAAACTCTCCACAAGACCATAAAATTTACAAACTCGTTAGTGTAAACAATAATCGATTAGTTAATTAATTAATATCGATGAAAATACTGATTTATCATTATTATTCTGATATGACGGGATAAAAAATATGCAAAATTACATTACTAACTCATTGTGGTTCTTGCTCAAAATTACTTTAATTTTTAGTTAGTGTGATAATTATTCAGTTTATTATTTTTTCGTTCCTAATGTGTTGTGTTATTCAGTATAACACTGATTTACTTCAATATGATATTCATTTCGGTTATGATATTCTTATATTAAATTTATAATGAATTATGTTCAGTATAACATGTAGCAAGAAATTTTACTGTAATTTCATAAGTGTGACGTTTCCTTTATTAATAACCAAATGTGTGTACAAATCGATATATGCATATATATCAATGAGAGCATTATCGACTAGGGTAGTCGTCATATTTTTGAGGTAATTTTTATCAACCATATACGACTGTATATTAAGAGTATTAGTCTAGCTTATAACTGTAAGCTTTAAGAAATGTCTTTTAGTTATTTATAGTATATTAGTTGTTCTTATATATCTGTTTTAGCTTTTATTTGGAAATCGTTTCAAGAGAAGTACTTTCGATGTTAGCAGAGTAATCAAGTTGAAGATACCCACCTACGCACTTAAATACACAGATATTTACTATTATGATGACTAAATTAAATATTGCTTGCATGCTAAGGCCATTGAGTTTTAACCATTCATTTGAGTTTTTAACACTTCAAGGTCACTCTAAGAATCACATGATTGGTGGCTTTTTAAACAGCTTACTTAACAAACAACTGCGCTTGTTTCTAAGATAGAAATCTGAGACTCCATTTTCAGTAATTTGTATTTATAAAAAGCAATTAGTTGTGATCAAAAAGGGTTTTTAAATCACAGTTATTTTTTTTACAATTTCTTGGTAAGTTGATTATTAACTCATCATTTTCATGACATAAATATTGTCATAAGATTTTCATTCAAATAGGTTCCTTAAACTATCAAATGTTTATTAATAGTTTGTGATTTTAATGAACTGATCCTAGCAGGGTTCCATTGTTTATGGTTATGAAACATTTTTTTCATTTAATTTGTTAATGAACGTACCATATGGGAAAACTGAATAATTGGTTTTAATTTACATTCTATGCTCTAATCATACCAAATATCAAAATAGTCACAAACCAATAGGAGTATTTATTTTCGATCATCTTATCATCATAACTTTAAACTAATAGAATCTATGTATCCTACATTTCGCTAAATCATTGAAACATATTTAAAAGTCGCTTAAACTAAACCTCATACCTTATCATTAAAATAGAGTTGAATGACTCAAACGTTTGTGGTCTAACCTAACATCATTAACAGATATATGATCTTTTAAAGTTGATAATATTTTGATTGTTAATCTGATAACTGAGCATACATAACAGTTTTTAAGTAATCTAGAGTTATTTGGAGGATGTTGTTCTTCAGACTTCCAGAAGTAATTTTTTTGTTTGTCAAATCTAGCCAACGCATCATGTTTGATCATAACTTATTTAATTCAAAGAGACCTTAGTAAAATTAAAACTCATCATGATCGATATAGATAAACAAATGTGTTTCTGAATTGCAATTTTTTTATTTCTTTGTAGGCGATAACCACCATACTATGATCTCTGTTTCAGCGCTTTACTACTTATGTTACGGTTTGTTTTTGTAATCTCATATGCTGTGAAATTACGATATTTAAATAAGATAAATAGTATTACGTTTACTGAGTTGGATGTTATCAGTGTTTTAGGCACCATCATCAGCTTTCACTTCAGACAGGAAAGAGCTTTTTCTATTATTCAACGAGGAGTAATTTATCACTTTCTGGTGGTCTAGTTTATAATTAACCATAAACAGACACTATATTTTAAGCAGAATTCATCAGTGAAATCCAGTTAAAAATTATGATCTAATCATATACAATCTGAATTACGTTTTAACCCTATTCAGTATTAACAGTCTTTCTTTGGATTACTTTTTCTTAGGAAACGTTTTTCCAAATTTCATTTCTAGGATAATTAATAATTTTTCCCAATAAAATCTCTTAATACGAAATTAAACTAGTTGGATACAGTCCAAATTAGTGAATGTTCTCCAGTTTAATCATTTCAAAAATTCAACTCAATAAATCATCTCAAGTGACTTATTTAGTTAGCTAATTAAAAAAGAGGTTAATAAATACCTTATTTAAATTTTATATTCAATGTCATATTAATTATATTTTACTAAGGTTGAATAATGATGTTATACCCTTTGACATCAATACGTTTGTTTATTCACAGTTAAATATTATTTCATTAACGTGTTCTTCCAATGAGAATCTTATTTTTGGAAGAAAACCCGCAAAACGTTGGTTTCAATATTAAATTATTAATTAATCGTCAATAATTAATTAAAATGAATTGAGTGGAAACATTTAATGTTTTTGTTTGCAAATCTGTTTTATATTGAATTCTGACTAAATTACTTAAGTTGAAAAGTGAAACAAGATTGTTTGTTAAACAGAACAAAAAAGGTGTTGGTTTCGAATCCCGCGAGTGGGATCGTAGATGCGCACTGCTGAGGAGTCCCACAATAAAACGAAACGGCCGTCCAGTGCTTCCAGATTTTCCTTGGTGGTTTAGCTTCAATTGACTCATGATCTCAACTATTGAAATTACTACAGTCTCAACAAATCCCCTTCTGACACAAAAAATATGGTTGAATTTATTAGTGTTTGTACAGTAAATTTGATTATCTCTGTTAAATTTTCAAAATGAAGTTATTTTAGATCTTAAGTTCTGTTAAACATTTCTTTTTTTTCTAATGTCAGAAAACATCTAACCACTCATTATATATCCTACAAATAATGCCTCGATGTTTGAGTTCTGAAGAATTAATGGAGCTTTTCAATGCGCTTGATAATAATGGAGATGGTGTTGTCAGTCGACAGGAACTGACTACATGTTTAGTAAAAGCCGGAATTTCCATGGCGAAAGTCGAAGTAAGTTAGAATAAGCATATATATCTAATGTTCATATATCCTATATACGAAAGCAGTCATATAGTTGCATTTGACCTTATAAAGGATACGACTATTATTCTTTATGTAATAATAAGGTTATTTCTTTAGATGTATATTATTTAATTAAATTGAAGTCAACTGATACAATCGAATGATAAAATAGAATTTTTTTCTTGTTTAAATTAAACTTGAAGAACAATTATTTTGAACAGTTTATACAGTTTTCAGAAGTGACTAAATTTGTCACTACGTAGCATAAACTGAATCAATTTGAATTACACCATACTAATAAATAACATCAGTAAGAAACAACTATGAAGATCAAGTTATAAATTTATATCAATTATGAATTCTCTTCATGATTCATCTTATTTCAAGAAAGATCTAGAACCAACGTTTTTGTCTTTGAAATAAATAAGAATATCATTTATCTGCTTTTACACTTCAAATATCTGAAGATGTACGTTAACTATTCTTCTCTTCATACCGGCCTTCATAAGGCAAATACATATCTCATCCTTCGATAAATTACTTATGTTAGTTCTTAAGCGTTCAGACTGGGACTAATCATTGGAAGTTCATACGTCTATACTTATAAATTAAAATTATCGTTTACAGTGAGTGAAAATTGCTTTCATATATTGACAGCATTCAAATAAAGTACCTAACATTTATATTTGTTAATCTTAATAAACAATTACTTTATTTGTCTGAAATAAATTTTATAAGGAATAATAAAATGTTGATTAATTGACTAAATATATCACTGTTTACATCTACTACATCACTCTATTCCAATATTCTAGTTAAATATGTTTAATACAGAAGAGGTTCTTTCATAAACCGGTTATATTGAGAAACTATAATAAACATTTAATTTTATTTAAACAAATAATCGCTTATCATCAACCTTGATAATAATAACTTACAAATCTGCTTTTACAAAGTAAACAATAAAAAAATAAGACAAATGTCTGTGACTACATACACTTTAATAAATATACATAATATTTTTCCACAAAATGAACGATAAATCATATCATTATCTGTTATAGATAAAGTCTCGTTAGATTAACTGTCATTATACATCCTCTTGGTATTGTTCACTTGAATCTTCCCATTGATGTTTTTGGACGGCGATTGATCAGTCACTTATTGACATATGTGTATACTATAAATATTGCCTCGATATTACCTTAATTCACATGCATTCTGAGCAAAGATGGATAGTAACTAGCAGTGGAATCCAGAATGCGCTTTTCGTTCTATTCTAGACTCGTCAGCTGGATGTACTTGCACCTCAGAGTTGATGTTGACTCTGGGACTCGGACCTAGTACTATTTACTTCAAATGGCATCGCGTTGTCCACTTAGTTACTGAGTCCTGATAGCCACCAGCCTTGGCATTGAGGTGAAGTTAAATTAACTTATTATTCCCACAGATGTTTCGGAAGTCAATTGATCAATCTTGAAGTGAACATCAACTCTGGGATGTATGTACATCCAGCTGACGAGTCCCGAATGGGACGAAACGCGCGCCTTGGACTCTACTGTTAGCCAGTATCCATCTTTTTCATTATGCATCAATAACTGACCAGATGATTTATAATGTAACAAATACGAGTGTATGTTTTGTGTGAATAAAAATATTTCTTCTGTGATATGTTAGCGAAATTAGAAAACATTTTAATATTAAACAACTATTGAACCTCTAAACAGCAGACACTTAAAGAACACTCTAACTTCTCAATTAATAAATATACATTCGTAATTTATCTTCAATACTGTGATTTATTTATTTATGTTTATTTGTTGGATTTATCTTGTCTCTTTTAAACAGCAAGTAATGAATCAACTAGATCTAAATCGAGATGGTTTTATTACTCTTGATGAATTTAAAACAGCTTTAGGATTAAATAAAGAACCTGCGGCTGAGTAAGTCATTGTTTTATTAAGATATATATATAAGGCATAAATTATGGCGAGCATTTAAACTTAGACGAGACATGCAAACCGGTTCCGTAACGATAAAATAATAATGAACACTGCTCGTTCGACATATCCGTGAAGATGTTTCAAACGATTTTAATCGACGACAAGTGTCAAAGAAAGAGATGCTCTTATATATATATATATATATATATATATATATATATATATATATATATATATATATATATATATATATATATATATTTAATTTATATTTAATTTATTTTGAATTTACTTTGACTTTCATTTATATCGATGAATGAGATCATTGTAAAAAGGGTACAAAGTTATAAAAAAATAATTTTGTGGTCAACTCATAAATTTCTAACAATTAAATTGTAATTTCTTTCTTATTGATTTATTAATACATTTTACTTTAATTGTTATTAAAATATTTTTACAATCATACAAAATAGGTTTTGTGGATATTATAGTAATTTTAATAGTTGAAATCATATGTCAATCCCGTGAGTGGGATCATGGATACGCACTGCTGAGAAGTCCTATACTAAGACTAAACGACCATTCATTGCTTTCAGGTTTTCACTGATGATCTAGCTTCAATTGATTAATGATCTCAACTATTAAAATTAAATAAAAGTTTATAAAACAATTGATATGAAATAATAATAATTACATGAAAGAAATCAACTTGAAAATTGATATGAAATGAATTGCATATTCAAAGAATAACTTCCGTAAGATTAATCGAACATTGCAATTACAAAAAAAATTGAAAAATTAATTATTGTTGACATATATTACTATATACCTAAATAAATATTAATTGATTCAAAATAAATCATAAGTTTCAAGGAATTATATGTTGATAGTGTTGACGAAGATATAAAAAAGTAATAATTATATCTAGATTTTCTGACCGAACTTCCTATTTATGTGTTCTAGTGATAATCTATTACAACTTCTTACTGATTTCACTTTTCTTTCTTTTTTTTTGAATATCTAAATTTCTTAAATATATGTTTGAAAAGAACGTATAAAAATATTTGGATATATTAATATTATTATTTATTACAATAATTTTCAAATGAACTCATCACTGATTGGCTTGTGTTAGTTTTATTTTTAAAAACATTCCAGTTGAAATATCAAATTGTAAGAAACTGGTATAATTTAAACTGACTTATTAATTAGCAGAAAGGTGTTTTATGGAGATTGTAGCAATTTAGTAGTTGAATTTATGATTCAATTGAAGCTAGACCTAGTATGTCCTAGTATAGGAGTTGTAAGCAGTGCACACCCACGATCCGGCTCTCGGGATTCAAACCCAGGATCTTCAGTGTCACACTCGAACGCTCAACCTTTAAACTAATCAACCGACATCTAACGGTGTTAATATCTAGCCTCAACTAATCCACCTCACAACTGATAAGATTGAACGTCACCGGTAATGAGATGTAGCGTGCATATCACATATTCCAATAACTCACAACTGATGAGTATTATAAAAACTGGGTCAAAAAAAAGTTGCTGAAATCAAGTCTCTCTGATCCGAAACGAATAGTCAGATAACAAAAGAGACCATAGTCTAAGTATCTATATGGTTCATGATTTTACTTTGAACGCTCGTTTTCTAAATGACTTTTTGTCAGTCTTGCTCTGAAAATTATCATTTTGTATTATTTCTTTATTCAAACAACTTAATAATTCTTCAGCTAACTTCAAGCTCACTTTTCATAATTATCTAGTAAACCCATGTCTAGTTATTTGATAGTTTTTAACTAAATGAAACGCATCAACATTGTTTTCAGGTAGAACATTTTGACAAGTACAGACATTTTATATGAATAAAGAATGAGTAACGAGAAATTTAAACCAAGGCTAGAACAGAGGACTAACAAGGTCAAGTGCGAGTAAAAAACAATAATATTTATTCTAGTGGAAATGCTGAACATAAACTATATAGCTCAAACAGAGAATGAGACTAAAAATTGTAAATATGACCGAAATCTTAAGAAAACTGAAAAATAGCTATAAAATACTTAAAACCGAAGGTATAATTTATCATAATTTTAAACTGTAAATCATTTTCAGATGGAGACGACTTTTCATGCAAATGGACCAAGATCGAAGCGGTGAAATTGATGTTAATGAATTACAATCTTTATTTGATGAAGCTGGTATGACTGTATCACGTTCCGTATTAGATGAATGGATACGTGAAAATGATGTAGATGGTAATGGAAAACTTAATTTTGAAGAATTCTATTCATTTGTATCATCTAATTTATGAATACAATTATTTTTCACATTTTATATATTTATGTATTTCTTATTAAAACAATTAACCAATCATATTAAAGTTTATGTTGTATCTTTATTGTTGTTGTTGTGATGGTGGTTGTATTAATTATTTTTATCTTTTAAAATAACAACAAAAAAATTGTATCATTTTTAGTCCAATGATCAATAATTGTGATTGAAATGATTGTACTTTATATGCACTCTTTCTTAAATTATGAGTCTTCTTTAAATGATCATTTATTTTTAATAGAAAGAAATAAAAAAATTAAAAAAAGTTAGAAGTTATATTGTATCATCTTAAATAATTAAAATGTAGCTTTATCACATGATTAAATAAGCGGAACAATAATCTACTGTATTACTATGTATATTAACCTATAAGAAAGTTTTATACACAATAACTAATCAATATTTAGTAACTAATGCATACTATTGGTATATATTTAAATTTATGATTTTGTAATTTAAAGTATCATTGAACAAATTAAAAATCAAGTGGGTAATTTATTAAATACTTGGTAAAACTATCTGATATTTATCCGAAGTCAATTCATTAAATTATTTTGACTCAGAACTTTTATTAATTTAAGAAGAAGAAGAGAATAGTTTAGTAAGTAGATAAATGTATTTGTATATTTGAAATATTTCTGATGAATGAATATGAATTTTTATGAATTAATGTATAGTTTCATTGTGACAATGTTTATAAATAGAAGATAAGTAAAGTTAAAAGGTATTTTCATTGATTGACTTATTCTAATTAGTGGCTACTGAACTTCGCATCAATTATTCATAGATAAATTTGACTGTTGTCTAGAAAATCTTTCTCAAGGAATTATTAAGTGAACATAATTGTTAGGCTGGACTAATCGTACAGTTTTTTTAATAGTAGCATTCATTTATTTAAATAAGAAGAATATATATAAGTGAAAATTTTTGCTTTCGATTAGATCCTCATCAGGCATTAATCTAATATACAGTGATATATATATATATATATATATATATATATATATATATATATATATATATATATATATATATATATATATATATATGCGAAACTATTAAACTAATCAAGGTAGTTCACGAACCAATGATAACAGTGGAATAGATTATCATTTTCTTTTTTTCAAATATACGTTTCACGGTCCAATTATCTAAACACTTTTTATTACGTAATCTAATGAATATTATTTCAGTGTCAATATTTTTCTAATCATTGACCAATTTCCCATTATGTAACATTGATTTAAGCCTTTATTATTCTTATCACAACTAGTATACTTGCCATCACATTACCAATTTGTACCTTTCACTTATTATGTTTTTTTATGTCACCTATTCCACTGTTATCATTGACTCATAAACTGCCTTGATTGATTTAATAGATTCGTATTTACTTAAAAATATTGCTGTATATTAGAGTGAAGCCTGATGAAGATCTTACTGAAAATAATATTGTTCGCTTATGTGTTGTTTAAAATCACAATATGGAAATTTTTCAAATTTTTAATAAGAAGACATGGCGACCTACATTGATCTCTAGGACACGACTTTTTTCTGTTTTTTTTAGTTTGTTTTAAATTACCCGGTCTTTAGCCGTATACGCATATGAACTTTAGTAAAATGTTATAACCCATTGCAAATTTAGTAAGTGAAAAAATAATAGGTACTATAACGGAGTATTAAATAATTTCTTCTTTCTCTATCCCTTGGACAAAAAACAAGCGATTTTCATGAAATAAGTGCATCAAAAAAAATATTAGATAACGAAAAAATGTGTTGTGGAAGTAAAACCGATAATAAACTGTTATGGATAAATGATAATTGATCAACGTTTAAAATAGTTGTGTACATTTATTTCATGAGCAAAATAATTATAAAATAATAAATTTGCCCAAAATATTGCATATTTAATGTTGAGAATCATTTAATGTAGTCAAAAGTATGGTATTAAAGGAAATGGTTAGTGTCATTACCATTATGAATAAAAAAAATATGGCAATCAATGAGCTAGATGTCATACATCTAAAATCCTAACAATAATCATTTGAAAGTAGGTTCTTTTTTCCTGTCGTTTCTACTTAATGAACTAATCAAATTCGAATCCGTGAACCATGTAAATCTATCATGCTGTAAATGTTTAGCCAGATATTTATTTTAATTCAAGTTTCAGCTGTTCCCAGCTTTTCCTTTTATATAAAGCAAGAACAAATAATGGTGCAGAATAGTATGAATTCACATTATTTCGAGGTTTCTCGTCAGCTGCTTACAAACCAAAATTGTGATAGAATTTTTTACATGGAGATATAGTGAAAACAATTGACATAGATGAGTGTAAATAACTGGGTTACAATAATAACTATATATATATATATATATATATATATATATATATATATATATATATATATATATATATATATATAGTTATTATTGTAACCCAGTTATTTACACTCATCTATGTCAATTGTTTTCACTATATCTCCATGTAAAAAATTCTATATATATATATATATATATATATATATATATATATATATATATGCAAGAAATAGGTCAGAGGTCAAAAGGAATTAATTCGGGTTGGGTGGTGTAATAATGGAATTGAATAATTATAAGATACGTTACGTAATAATAAAAAAAAAAAGAATTTGAAAAGTTAAGATAATTTAAGAGGATCAGGTGGCGGAAATGTGTGAATGATAATGTGGTTTAAGAATTATGTAATAGGGGAGGAGTATAAATATTTTAAAATAAATAAATAAATAAAATAAAAAGGGGTTACCAGGGTAGTGATAAGTTAATTAAAGTCTCTTTTTGGATGCATAAGTCAGGTTTGAGTTTTTTGATCATGATGGCTTCAGCAAAACGGAGGGTGGTCGTACTTCTTTGTCTATTGATAATTTTGAAAGCATGTGGAATCTCGATGGTGTGTCCGGTGTCAAGTAGATGTCGAGCTATTGCGCTGTTGAAGGCCTTATTCCCTCGCAGCCTCAAGTTTTTTGGAACATGCTCAATAGACAAGGAAGTACGACCACCCTCCGTTTTGCTGAAGCCATCATGATCAAAAAACTCAAACCTGACTTATGCATCCAAAAAGAGACTTTAATTAACTTATCACTACCCTGGTAACCCCTTTTTATTTTATTTATTTATTTATTTTAAAATATTTATACTCCTCCCCTATTACATAATTCTTAAACCACATTATCATTCACACATTTCCGCCACCTGATCCTCTTAAATTATCTTAACTTTTCAAATTCTTTTTTTTTTTATTATTACGTAACGTATCTTATAATTATTCAATTCCATTATTACACCACCCAACCCGAATTAATTCCTTTTGACCTCTGACCTATTTCTTGCATATATATATATATATATATATATATATATATATATATATATATATATATATATATATATATATATATAGTTATTATTGTAACCCAGTTATTTACACTCATCTATGTCAATTGTTTTCACTCTATCTCAATGTAAAAATTCTATCACAATTTTGGTTTGTAAGCAGCTGACGAGAAACCTCGAAATAATATGAATTCATACTATTCTGCACCATTATTTGTTCTTGCTTTATTTAAATTCATAAAGGGAACCAATTGCATGAAATTTTCATTTTATGTAAACAACTTCGCGAGCATACTTGAAGTGATTTGTGATCATTCAAGTAAACGTAATTAACTGATATCTATTGTGTTGTTAAACTAAATATCTCCCATTTCGGGCACTTAGTGTATAGTAAGAACTCCTTCTTGATCTACAGTTGTGTTATCAGTTTCGTTTCATCATCTAAACAACTAAACCATTATCTGAATACCTTTTCTAAAGAGATTCGTTTTAAAATCAACAAATACAACAGTAATGATTTCTGAACTCAGGCAAATAAGATATATCCAAATTTTTGTTTAATTGAAAACTGCATTAAATTACTAAAATGGATTCATTTTTACTTTAAGCAACTCAAAAATTGTTTAGTGCATTTTCACGAGATTTCCATAGAATGTCCTGTAACCCATGTTTTGTAACGGAGATTATATATTATGGTTTTATTTAAATACTTTGTCAGTCAGTAGAAAAATTTATTTTATGGAGGCGATAGTTCAAGTTCCTGTTCTTTCTTAAAAGTAAAGTTGAGAATAATTAATAGTCAAAAATTTGTAAACCCCAACAAGTTTGCTGTGTTATATGTTGATTAGTGAATACAGTATACATATCATAAGAAAAAAGTGTACCAGAAATTCTCCATGTACTTATAGACCTTTTTCCAATCACCGCCAGTATTTTTACATCTTACACTGAATTAATTACTTCATGAATCAGTTAGCAAAATTTTTAGCACAAATATATACCATGTTCTTGTATATCTGTAAAACTGTAATCGGATAAGCATAGAATAGATGTATTGTGACTAGCATTGGATTCGAGGACTCAAGTTTCATTTTATTTATAACTCATCGGGTACATGTACCTGCATCCCAGAGTTGGTGTTTATTCCTAAACCTGAGTACATTCAGCTAACCAGCCCCAAATAAGACGAAACGCTCATCTTGAGTGCCAATGACTGTCGTGACAAATGGTTGGAGACTCTGAGTGACATGGCCCAGAATCTGTTGGTGTATACACTCATTGTCCTCCCTTAAAGTTTAAGATTAAAATTGCTTTAAAGCTTTATTTCTACAAAACAATTCTTTATTCCTGTATTGTATTCTTATATTCAATCTTTATATATATATATATATATATATATATATATATATATATATATATATATATATATATATATATATATATATTACTACCATTGAAGTAATTATTACTATGAATATGATGTCAATCTTGTTGTGCTAATAAGGTGAGGCGACTTGGATCGATGTATATATGTGCCTGGTTCTACATGACTATATTCAGGCAATCTGCACACGATGAACATATGCCAACAAAGACTGATCAACTTTAGGTTAAAAATATCAACAACGGGCTAATCCAATTAGTTACAAATAGAATTGTAATTGCACTGTTAATAAAAGTCACCTACGAGATTGTAATTATTTGTAATGATCACAGTCTACCATACATATTGTAACATGCAGTAAGATGTGAACTCTGAACATCTATAGTTACATGAGTAGTAACTTATTATTGCAAAACTAACTGAATTTGTTCCTTAAAAATTCAAACAATAAATGCGTCATAAACTAATATTTCGTTTGAAACAGTGAAAAATAAAAAATTAGTTACATAGTTAACAATTAAGATACATTGTCTGTGAACTCTTTGTTTCTACACAATGGAAAGAATACTTTGATTTACAAGGTGTAATAATTCACTGAGTTACAATTTATCGACCAAATACTGTAAAAAATAATAACTATCGATTATTCATAAAATGTAAGAGAAATACCTAAATAGTCTTGTGAATGACTTAACAAAATATTAGTCCATTTACTAAACTAGTAATTCACGAAACACACTTATCTCCCAACTTTAAGTAGTAGCAATTGTTTTAACTTGTATATAAATGTCCATTATTAAACTTCAATGAGGCCGGTATGTCTTTGTTCTCCAGTTAATAAGCATTAA